CATAGCAGCACCCAACTACAGTGATGAAGGCTAACCACATCCTGGAGCTCCATTATTAAGAATGTAGCCAGAAGGTCAAGGGAAGTGATTATTATCCCCTCTTCGTCATTTATGAGACTACACTTTGTCCAGTTCAGGACTCCTCTGCACAAGACAAGTCATTGACATACTGTCAAGTCCAACAGAGAGCTGCTAAGATAATTAGGAGACTGGAGTACATGGCATGAGGCTAAGAGCTGAATTTGCTCAGTCTTAAAATGAGAAAGCTAAGGGGGGCGGTGTCACTGGTGTCTTCAGCTATTCAGTGAGAGGTTAGAAGGAAGATTGAGCCAGATTTATCAGAGACATACAGCAAAAAGACAAAAAATAATAAGCAAAAAGACTTACCTAGTCAAAATAAGTTCTGACTAGATACAAGGAAAAAATTCTTTATGATGCGGGTGGTCAAGCATTAAAGAACAGGTTGTCCAGGGAGACTGTATCATTTCCTTCCTTGGGGATACCCAAAGCTGAGCTGCAGTAGGCCCTGAACAGCTTAATGCAACTTCAAAGCCACCATTTTGTGGACCTCTAGAGGTCCCTTCCAGTCTACATTGTTCTAAGATTCTACTATCTTCTCCCTCCCTTATTGTTTTAGTTTTGTTAAGTAGTGTTCTCTGTTCCTGTTCTTTGGACATTCCTGTTCTTCACAAGTGTTATATGCTGTCCTGGTCTAACTCACACTGTATAGCTCTAGCACTATGATCACTTGTAATAAACCAGCTATGAAATTAGTGATGGCAATGAAGGTTAAAGAATTAAGCAAATAGTTTAAATGTAAGCAGTCAAAAATGCATTAGAGAACATCTTCAGAAATGTCTTCCCATTTAGCATTAAAATACTATTAGCTATGTTTTGGTATTTAGGAGGACTGAGGGAAAACACATTTATGTAAAGAAATTATTAAAAACACAGCACAAGAGTTCAGAAATAGGATTAAGGCAGACGCAGCTGCAATCTTCAAACTTAGTTTAAACCAAATTTGAGTATCTGCAACTGTAGCTTTCAAGTTATAATCATGCCATTGACCTTCCTTCCCCGCTCCCTTTTGTTTTTGGCCACTGAAGACTCTGATGCTTTCAATAGCTCCAAGTCAAGAACAACTCCCTTGTAACGACGACTCTGACATGGATATAGTGAGAGCAGATTGCCTGCAAGGAAACAAGAATAAACCAGCTATTTAGAGAGATTATGTAATGCAGCCCAGAGCTGTAAAATGAGATTTAAAGAGACAGAACTCTGCATTTCAGCCCTGTAAGTAACCATAAAAGTTGGGCAATACTGTAACAATTTGAAGAGACGAACAGAGGAAGAAGTCCTGTCAAAGGGTCCCTTCCCTCTCTGAGGTAGTATTTTATTCATAATTCTCACAAAACCAGTACCATTTGGCTATTTCGTCAAACCCTTTAAAACAAAGTCAAAACACCTCTTCACATCAGAGGTGTTTCAACCTCTGCTGGTTGCACATCAAGGTGGTGTGCAGGTTTTTACTGCATCTTGTGGACCTGAGCTTGTTGATCTTGTGAAGCTCAGCACTCTCAATTAGCACAGCACTGCATGCTGAAAAATCAAACCAATTATGAACAAATACAACAGAATTAGTCTTCCCTGCATAAATATTTTAGCAAGTGTAAACAAGATTCAAGCTTTTATAAGCAGCCAATTCCTAAACAAACACCCACGAACATCAGCTGGTTAAGCAAAGGAAGACCAAGACTATGAACTGCCATGCACTACCATATTATAAACAGTGAGGAAAAATACAGCAAAGGCACATGTGATAAAGGAGAATAGTTCTGTGTATTGGACAAACTTACACAAAGCTGGAGACTGTAAAACCTTGAGGGTTTGTCCATGGCTTTGTTTAGAGCATACACACACACATAAAAACACTGATGCACAAAATAATGATCCTGTAGAAGAGTCCAGAACTGTTGAGCAGTTGTTAAGAGATTTTATTTCTGCATTTCTTCACTTTAGAATGGAGGAAAAGAAAAAACTTTGTACAATTACCTTAGGAATTCTAATGAAAAACTGGTTTTCATCTAACTCTAAACATCCTTTCATTAAAAGCCTCAAAAAATAGCAGCATCATACATTCAGCCAACCCCAGCTGCTTTGCTAGTGAATAAATAAGAGACAGTGAGCCCAGATCACCTCCTTTTCACCTCCCCTGAAAAAAGACACTACAGCAAGGAAGAATTTGGCCCAAACTACGTGGGGGAGGGAAGGGAAAGCAGGGGGAGGTTGGGGTTTTTTTCTTAAAGAAAACAAAACAAAACAAAAAACAAACCAGCAAGTCCCTGTTTCGTTGCTGGACTTTTCCTCACATCATGTCAAGCCTGCAGGTTGCTGGCAAGCAGATCAGGCACAGTGCGAGACCTGCCAGCATTCCCAGACCACACACACACTCTCAGCTGCTCTTGAATACACTGGGGATGAAGTTTATCTACCACCCATCCCTGCTTTCCAGAGCCTGGTTCTTCCCTGCAGTAACAGCCCATACAGAGATTTTCCACAAGGGGGAAAGAATCATGTCCCTGTGGTACTGAAGGTAGCACACAGCCTTGTCACAAGAGCCACCAGCAAGCTGCAAGAACAGGTCTCCTGAACCATTCTAGCAAGCTGTGCTGCAATGACATCCCAACAGGATGCTAATTTCAGCAGTTCATTTGCAACTCGGATAACTTCGGAAATGTAAACATACTAGTACCAGCAAATAAATAAATAAACAGCTCAGCATTTTTTCTGATCAGATAGTGTGGTGCTCCAGGCATAACTGTTCATTTTTAAAACAATCAACTATGAATGCACTTCAGTTTCACTCAGTGAACAACCCATACTTTCTGTTTAAAATATATACTGTAAGTTCATTTACTTTGCCACAGTTTCATGTCTAAACACAATGGCTATTAACATAATTTCAGGAAAAAGAAAAAAGGCCATGATCATTGGCCCACAGTGACAGGCTGAGATTTTCTAAGTTCATTGCCATAGCTCAATTTACAATTAAAAACAATGCAAAATCAAAACTGTGATTAAATGCAGCAGACGACTAGCTCATTATACAGCAGCAGAAAGGAAAGACATTCAAAAACCAATTGCTCTATCCGAAATATCATCTGCTGCTGTCATGCCTGGGACTGAGCAAGAACATCACTTAGCTTATTGGAAATAATTTTCCCAGAGACAGATTGGCAGCATGACAAATGAGGGTTGGCTACAAAATCAAAGACCAAATACTTTTTTCATATATAAAGGATAGCCACAAAAAAAAATAAAAAAGAAGAAGTAAAGAGCCTCAGACAGGTATATGTGAAAGCCAAATTATTTTCCTATTTCAGAATTGTTTGGGAGATAATTTCATTTAAATTTAATTTAAAGCAAATATCATTTCTTGTATCTGATGCTGACAGACTTTAGCCAAGTCAGAATCACTATGCACGATTGGGGATCCCACACAGAAAAGCTGTGGGGAAGGAAGATGCTCAGACACATTCCCCAGCAAACACTCACCCAAGAAAGAAGTCATGTTTAGATTCCAGAAAAACGCCTACACTATATTTAATTGTGATTACCTTTCAGCATAACTGAAAGGGCTTTGGAAGGATTCAAGCACTCCAAGAAGCAATGGGATAGCATTTTCTCTCCTCAACATTTTACTTTTATACAATTAAAGACTAGGAACTGGGCAGTCCATATGCACAACAGGCCAATTTACTTTTTAAATGCCTGCATAAAATTAGTTTTGATTAAAATGCCTTCATCCAAAGACAAACTTAACTAACTGTAAAAGGTATTCTTGTAGGTTTATTCCACTGCTTATACAGGATACACAGTATATAGGCATTTTTAAAACTTGCAAGTTAGTAACTTTGGACCTGACACTGAAACTAGCTCACAGAAAGCAGGAGCTTTACTCTGCCACGCAAGCAAGGTTCAGTGCTGTTCAGTACAAACAGCTGAATAAAAACATTCTGCATATACATCGACTGAATAATGCTGACTAAAGCAGCCTGGATACATTTCAATAACAAGGATCAATCTTAACCTTTCTATACCTATGGAGACCAATCTTATCCTCTGCATACCTATGCAGGCAGCGTTTGAGTTCCAAGTATAAGATTTTAATTTAGGAAAATACCTTTACCTAAAATATTCCACCCCCAAAAAGAGCACCATATAAGTAAAACCCATCTATGTCCCTTGGTTAACTATGTCAGCTTCCAAATCTTTGATATGACAGTCCATCAGCTGTCATGTCCAAGAGTTATGAGAAAATAATATTAATTGGCCAAAAAATGACAACTGCTGTCCATTGATATGAGTAACAGCAACTGGAAGAACATTCTCTTTCTGGAGTAAAAGCTGGGTTTATTCACTCACTTTAGAGTGTAGATTCTGTAAATCTCAATTAAAATGTATAGCATGTAATGAGAATATTTAAATATCCTATGGACACGACAATCTTTTTTCCATGTTTCCCCTCTCTTTCTTCAACAGTCACATATTAAGCATGATTACTACCAAGTGTGCATATATATATATGCATTATCTCACACTTACAGTGTATATATACAAAAGCATTAGCACAAGTATACTTAAAAATAAACATGCGCAAAGCATTTCAAGAACTCTGAAAACTGATAAAATAAAAAGCCACAATAGTTTAACAGATAACAAGAAGGTGCAGTGGGCATGTCAACCTTGAAAAAGCCCTTTTAAACTACAATAGTATTGTCAGGTGCCATTACCCTTTGTCAGCCAGCTACCTGACCTCATAAATCAGGTATAACAGCCAAATGAAAGCACAATGTAAAATCAGCATAAGGCATACTTGTCTAATGAATAACAAGTGACCAGTCAAGGTTTTGAGGTCATATTCAAACTGAAAAATTTACTGTAATCAACCATATTAATAAAAACAAAAGTCGTATCAGCAAGACTAAGCTTGTACGTACCATTCTGTAGAGTTTGTGCTCGTGACTCCTTCCCCAGATTGGCATGGAATCCTCCTCCTAAAGTTGGTGTCTTGCCTGCACCTGTTAGAGAAAAAACTTATTGGTTTGTGCCACTTATTGTGCCGCTATATTCAGTACCTGTGTAATTTACAACATGCCAAATTACATTGATAAGGGCAACCGAAGTGCTTGAAGGGCTTACAACAGTGAATACAACAATCCTGTGAAATTTATTTCTTCCCTGTGATAACTTAAGATTTACATGGCTCCATAAGCCCTCCCAATCGCAGCTCCAAAAGAAAGTACAAAAATGTCACAACCCCTATTGTAAACAGAACATGAAAATCAGTATTGTAAAATACTTCTCAAAATAAATGATGAAATAATTGCTAGTTTATATTTTTTTGTCTGAAGAGTATTCAATACATAATATTAATCGCTAATTACTGGCACTAGAGAACATAAACACCTTTAGCATTCAATGACGAGTGTCATTGTTGGGTACTACAGACATAACACTTGAAAATAACTTTAGACCAACATCAGGCACACACAGAGCAACACTTAGGCTACAAAAACAGCAAGTCTGGAACTGCTACTTTTACATCCTGAAAGGCTGGAGACTAAAATAAGTCCAGGTTGTAAATTAGCATCAACTAGAGTCTGGTTTGCGTATCCATGCCTATGCTGAGGAACCTGAATGCAGAGTTTGCTAAGAGTTAATGGAACTACTCACACAAACCAATCTTGCAGAAGAGGGAATTAAACTACCAAGGACAGAAATATTCTCCCACTAAAGCAGGAAGGGTTTTTAAAAAAAAAAAAAAAAAAAAAATACAAAAAACAATCAGGCTACCTCAAGCAGGATATTTTAATCTACTGGCTTAACAGCAAGTAAGACCAAAAAGCAAAATTGCACAGGATTGAAAACAAGTAATTTGTTCATAAGTGACTTCTACTTAATTCAAGTAGTCTGCTCTCCAGAATCAGGAGAAAAGTCATCTTGTTGCCTATGATGCCTACCTACATTTTTTCCTCAAGTTCTTGTAGCTATGTTTTCTCATCTTTTACCAGTTCTCTAGAACAAACTAGAACGGCCTTGGGATAGAATCATGAAGGAGAGTGAAGCGTCCCTTTGTCCAGTTTGGGTCAGGTGTCCCGTCTCTGCTCCCTCACAGGTTCTTGTGCCCCTCCTCACTGGCAGAGCATGAGACTGAAAAGTCCTTGATCAGAGTAAGCATTACTTAGTAACAACTAAAACATCAGTGTTTTATCAGCATTGTTCTCAGACTCAACTTGAAAACACAGCACTGCACCAGCTGCTAGGAAGACAAGACCAGAACACAGGTACAAGTGATGAGAAACTGTGACCTAAATCGTTCATTCTTAGTAGACTTTCTTAGTCTCCTCTCAGCTGCATCTAATGTACATCCATGTTGGGGGGGGCGGGGCGGAAGTAACAAAAAACCCCACAAACAGATAAACTAATATTCCTGAAGTATTCATGTCTATCAGCCTTCAAAGCTTAATTTTCCATACACCTTTTAAATTGGGTTTCTAGTGCTATTCACAACAGAAACAGACTTCACTTCATTAACAAATCCTTTCAACAAACATTCATTAAAAGCTCTCCCATAAATGCCCCACAGCTTAAGTACTTCAGTTCAACATCCTAGTTAGAAATGAAAAACATTCAATAGCAACCTCCTCACTGGTTATTTATACACAGCATTTATAGACAGTAACGTCTCCTTCCCATTCTTATAGGTACTTATTCCCACAAGTGCTCCAAAACAAACCCAATGAGGCAAAACGGAGAGAGGTTACCAAACTACCCTAGGACACATAACATTTTTGGTATACATTTAATAAGAATGGTTTACCTGGGGGAGGGAAGGAGGGAGGAAATATATATATCAATAGTGGCAATAGTTTTATGCTGCTTTTCTTTAGTAGCACATGTAACTTGCTAAAACTCTGCCTCCTACCCTCATTTTTTTTTTGTTGTTTTAAGATTTGCTTTATCACAGGCTACCT